TATATATATATATATAAGATGTCAAATTATATATATATTGCACAGTTATTTAATTATATAAAATAAAGTTTTCAACAATTTTTATCGTTAATTTTAATCATTAATTTGTTCAAGTTAGGTGCTAATGAGAATAAATAAAAAATTAGAAAAAAATTAAAGATTCAAAAGGTTAAATAAAAGTTGGATAAAGAAAGGCAAATAAGCCAAGCTGGATGACAATGCTTGTTTTAATACCAGGAAACAAAATATAAATATCGCAAATGTTTCAACCTACACAACAGTCATAAATGATTTATACCATTGTACTGTAGATGAAGATGTCTTGTGTTATAAATCGAAATGTTTGCGATGTTTATATTTTTTTTTTTTAAACGTACATTATCATCCAGCTCAGTTTATTAAGCCTTTCTTTATCCAATTTAGATGAAAAAATTTTCCTAAATCTCTCTCTCTCTCTCACACACACACACACACAAAATCTATGCACGCGTGCACACAATATACACATTTATATAAAAGGGGAAATTTCACAGAAGTATTAATACATATTTTATTATACGCATCGTTATAAATTGAGAATTCTGAGAATTTTGGTTACATACTATTATATTTCATTTATTGAAATTATAGATAAAATTAAAAGCTTTTCGTACCTTATCGAACGAATACGAATCCAAGGGCACACATCCTCTGCAGTCATCACCAACGGTAACGTGCGAAATAGCGATGACAAAAATTAATACGAGACTCGATCGAATCATGATAGGACGTAACGTTTGTGTGATTATTCGAGTTTCATCCGCATACACGAATGAAGCAATTAATTACTCCGTTCTTTTGCGTTCTGTGAAATCGAACAAGGATTATCCTATCTCCCTCATATACATATAGTTACATTCGCAAAATACGCGTGTGTAACACAACACGTGAAGTACAGCAACGTGTCAGTTCAACGAACCGGCTTCGTTCTGAATTCAAGTTATTGAGTCTAATTGATTTGTGAAACAAATACTCACCGAACTTGTCCGAAAATCAGAGTGGCAAAACTTATATACGATGCCTTATTAAAGTCCTTATATATACACATATATTTTTTTTTCATCACACGCGATCAATCTTGTCTACTCCAAGATGTTCTGGAGAAAGTTTTTCTCTACATTAAATTGTGCTCTTTAAACTAGAAGTGACTAGAAGATTTTCCTTCCTTTTCATCAGTTCTCGCACTTGCCCGCACTTGTCTGCACTTGCCTATACTTGTCACATGGCAGCAAAGAACCAGGCCAACCAGAGGCGTATTCGGATTCCTGTCCGGGTATTCTTCAGGTGTCATGTTATCCTTGTTTAACGTTCGATAAATAACAAGGATGGAATGATACTCGGGTAGGAATCCGAACATAACTCAGAATGATGCGGCCACAATAGAAGAAATAAGGAATAACAATTCCAACCTATCAGAAACCGTGTATTCCGATGTATTCGATATCCGATAGGTTGAAATCTTTATTCCTTATTTCTCTTCTATTCTGGCTGCACTTTTATTCGCTCAGGCGTTTAGGATATATCCACACAAACTTGCATAGCCGTATAAACGTATGCGTAAAGAAAATTATCCAATCGCATTTCTTCTATAAAGACGCACGTAAAATGTGATTGAATAATTTGTTTTATGCATACGTTTATGCGACTATGCAAGTTTGTGTAGATATAAGCGGGGAGCACAGACTCTTGGATAACGCATAAAACATGAAGCATAAGAAAATCAACCAATCAGAGTCCTTTATTTCATGGAAAGGAAGAAAATAAAGGACTTTGATTGGTTCATTTTCTTATTATTATTGTACATTACGTATTATATAAGACTCTATTCTCCCCGTCATACCCTTACAGTGTTGAGCATTAATCGTTCTTGTTTAATATTTATAATTACACAAGGATGAAACGACGCTTAAAGAGTTACATAAAGAGTGAGCATCAAAGCGAACACAGCCCAAAAGTGGAAAGAATATATTATGCGTTAATATTTGGATAGTTGCGATTGACGTGCGGCCTTCGAATTTGTTTTCACGCGGAAGGGCAAGCAGACGCATCATGTTTGCGTTAAAGCTTTAGATACCAAAGTAGCGTATTCCTTTATCTGAGCCGAAATGCCGACAGCCTTCCTATTGGCTATTTCGATCGCCATTTCGATTTAGTTGTCTGTAGTATGTTAGTTGTCTGTAGTATGTTAGTTGTCTGTGTATATTAAGCACCAATAAGTGCTTAATATTATTGGTATAAGATATAGTGGATTCAAATGAACCTATACGCAATTTTGGTATCTAGAACTTTATGCGAGAACAATAGAAGACTGTGGTCAAAGTCTCGTTACAAATGCTTTGAAGCATTTGATGGACCAATTAGAAGAAAGAATTTTACACAAACTGACCAATTAAAAAACGCTTTTGCAGCAAAAAAGCGTTTGCAGCATCGTATTGACCGTATCCGAAGTCGTAAAAAATTGACCAATTACAGTCGAATATGAGAAAAATAATCAACTGTGTGATTGGTCAATTTTTTAAGACTCTACTATTTCTATTAGATCCTGCATTAGTTTACGCGCCGTCATTCCGTTACTAAGTGTTACTGAGGCTTTTACAAATAGATAGCCCATAAAATGTGAAGAAGAGCAGCACATGATATGGCTTGTATCTGTCGAACGAATCTGTCCGAACGATATCCTACACATATATATACATATATAGTATATATATATGTATAAATATATATTTTTTGTGTGTGATATGAATTATATATTTTCACACAAAACATTGGCAGTGCCTATTAGAACACAGTATAAGATACTAAGTACAAAATACTTTTTAAGAAATTAAAAATAAATTATAAAATAAGAAAATAATAGAGAACTGAAGTAACGGTAAAAGTAACGGCTAAATTATCGTTATCGTTACTGTAAAAATGTAACGATGTTACCGTTACTGTTACAGACAGAAAAAAATAACGAAAACGGTAACGGCGTTACAAGTAACGCGTTACTTCCCAACCTTGGTTTTTATTGAGGTAAAGGACTACGATTTATTGAGATAACAGAATCATCGGACAATGATGTCTGATGATAGAATCGTCATTTTTTTAAGACTGATTAAAAATTCATTATTTTAGTTTTAATCAGTTCAAACCAATTTAACGTTTATCATACATTGTACTTTTATAAAAATTTGTTAAAATGGTCAAGAATTTTTCACATTTTTATCATATTTTAAATTATAAATAATAAGCAAATTTCTTGATTATTATCGATATCTCTCTCTCACATTAAATTACTTTCCCTTTTTGTATTCAAGTCTTGGTCTTCCCTTCTTTGTGGTCGGCTTATCCTTTCCTTTATTTAGCAAGGGATGAGTCTCTGTAAATTTTATTAATTATTACCAGATTACCGGTATAAAAATTCAGCTATCAATTGCTTTAAAATTATGTTACAAGCAAACCTTTTTAATCAGACATAGAGAATGGACTGCGCGATCTAATTAAGTAAGTAGTATTCAAATGTGGCGACAATTGTGTGTGTGTGTGTGTGTGTGTGTGTGTGTG